TCTTTAATTTTTCTGGAAGAGTTTAATAAGTTTTGGTATTAATTATTCCTTAAATATTTGGTAGAATTTACCTGTGAAGCTGTTTTTCCCTGGACTTTTCTTTGTTTGGAGTTTTACGTTTGTTTGTTTGTTACTGATTCAATCTGTTTAGTTGTTATTGAAACTTCCTTTAGTAATTTCTCATGAGTAGACCTAGAGGTGATGAACTCCCTTAGCTTTGCCTGTCTGGGGAAGTTAATTTATGCCCCATTTTGAGAACAGATTTGCAAGGTAAAGTATTTTTGGTTGGCAGTTTTTACCCTCAGCACTTCCAGTGTATCATCGAAGTCCCTTCTGCCCTGCAGAGTTTGTGCTAAGAAATCCACTGATAATCATATTGATACTTACTTGTATTTGATATTTTTCTTATCTGTTGCCACTGTCAGAATTTTTCTTTGTTTTTGATTTTTGATAGTTTGATTATTATGTGTTTTGGTGAACTCTTCTTTGGGGTTGAATTTGATTGGAGATCTCTGAGCTTTCTGCCACTTGATTTTGGCACCCTTCCTCAGATTTAAGAAGTTTTCAACCATTATTTTAAAAAATATACTTTCTGGCTTTTCTCCTGTGGAACTCCTATTACGTGAAGGTTAGGTCTATTCATTGTGGCCCATAATTCTCACAGGCTTTTTTCATTCCTTTTTTTCCTCCTCTGATTGGATAATTTTCAAATGTTCTGTCTTCAAACTCACTGATTCTTTCTTCTGCTTAATTGAGCTTGTTGTTAAGGCATTCTATTAAATTTTAAAGTTCAGTTATTGTATTTTTTATTTCTTGTATTTCTATTTGTCTTTAAAGATTGTTTCTATTTCTTTGTCAAACTTCTCTTTTTGTTTGTGTATTGTTTGTCAAATTTCATTTAGTTTTCTATCTGTATATTCTTGTAGTTCACTGAAATATTGAGAGGACTATTCTTAATTTTTGGTTAGTCATTTCTTTATGGTCCATTGTTGGATCTTTATTAGTTTGCTGTGAAGGTGTCATGATTCCTGGATTCTTCACAGTCCTGGTGTCCTTATGCTGGTGTCTGTGTATTTCAGGAGACAGTCACCTCTTACACCCTTATGGGTATTTTTTTGGCAGGGATAAACCTGCAGAATTAAGTCTAGCTTGTGATTCTGGATGGGCCATGAGGTAATGACACAGGGCAGGTTGCTATCAGGTACTTTTGCTTGCTGGTATGATGCCTTTTCTCTGAGGTTGAAATAGGCCTGCTGGTTTAGCTCCACTTTCCAGTTGGACTAATGGCTGGGCTCTGCAGTCAGTCAGAGTTGCTGGCTGGGTCCTGTGAGGTGCACTCCCATGGCTTAGTCCCCTCCGGACACAGTGCTGGATGGGCAGCAGCAGGCACCAGGCTCCACCTGTGCCACCTTGATCTCCTGATTGGTCTGCGAAACAGGGTATATTCCCTGGCTAGATAGTACTATGATCTGAGTTCTGAAATTGGGCTGGGATGCAGGTTTGGTCCTAAGATTAGGTGGAGTCACTGCTCAGGATGATTGGGACTAGCTGCTATACTCATAAGAAATAAATGGTTGAGGATTGCCTCCCTGTCTGGGACAGCCTTGGGATGGGCTTGAGGCTGAGGTGAGCTGTTTTTGAACTCCTGTTGGTACAAGTATAGCCCCTGTGCTTTGCCAAAAGCTGCTGTTGTTGGTGTCTTCTTCCCTGGGCAGGGTATTTGGATGGGCTCTGAGGCTGAGCTGAGTTGCTGTTTGAGAACCCAGATAGCACAAGTCTAGCCTCTACACTTTGCAGAAAGGCACAGTGTCAGGTGTCTCCTTCTCTGGGCAGGGTCATGGGGTAGGTTTTGATACTGGGCTGAGTCATCGTTTTAATACCTAGGTAGTGTGAGTCTAGCTCCTGTGTGTTGCCAAAAGGTGCCATGATGGGCTTCCATTTCCTGGGTAGGGTCTTGGGGTGGGCTTTGAGGTTAGGCCAAGCTGCTGTTTGAATGCTCATCTGGTGCAAATATAGCTTTTGAACTTTGCTGAAATAGTTTGTAGTGGATATCTCCCTCCGTGGGTGAGTAGTTGGAGTGGGGTCTGAGGCTAGGCACAGAAGGCTGGCTATCTTTGGAATTAAGCCAGTTTGAACTTTGCACCATGCTTTTGGCAACAAGCAGCTTGGCTTTGCTTGTGGGATATGACGTTGATACCTCTGATCACATGCCTCCACTGGCCATAACACATAGTTACCATCAAGTTCTGAACACTGGTGATGGTGAGCATTATCTCCTTTCTTTGCTTCTGTCTGACCCCAGGCAGTCTAGCTATGCTACTACTGCCTGTGTTCCCCATTAGGTAAGAATGGAGTGGGCTTTCTGAGAAGTGTCTTGTAATGCTAAGGAAGCTGGGTGTTCATCTTTGATTGTCTTACTATAGAAATCGTGAGCCTGGGGGAATCTTCTCTTAATGTCACTACACCAACTTGGGAGAGGGTGAGGGGTAACATAGTTAAAATGAGACCATTCCTCTTATGTCTCTAATGCAGTGGCATGTACATGTGTCTTAGTCTTATTTCTAGGTTTTGTGGTTTTCACCAAGGCATTTTTGTCTGTGGATAATTGGTAGTTGAACATTCTGAGGAGGAAAGAGAAGTCTGGGACCTCCTATTTCATTATCTTGCTAACATCATTCCCACTCCCCACCCCATTATTTTAAAAACAATTTTTTTTATCACTTTCTCTTGCTCTTGTCCTTCTGGAACTTCCATAATATGTTTATTAGTTTGCTTGATGGTGTCCCAAGTGTCCCATAGGCTTTCTTCACTCTTTTAAATTTTCTTTCTTTTTTTATTCCTCTGATAATAATTTCAAATGACTTGTTCTCAGGTAGCTCATTCTTTCTTCTGCTTATTTCTGTTGTTGAAGATCTATATTAATTTTCTAATTTTAGTCATTATATTTTGCACATCCAGAATTAGTTTGGTTCATCTTTATGGTTCTGTTTGTTAAACTTTACATTTTATGTGGTTATCTTTGTGCTCAGGTAGCTCACTGAGCTTCTTTAAGATGTTTATTTGAATTTTTGTAAGTCATTTTACAGTTCTTTATTTATTTAGGAATGGTTACAGAAGCTTTGTTTTGTTCCATTGGTGTTGTTACATTTTCTTGATTATTCATGATCTCTGTAGCCTCACATTGGTGTCTGCACATTTGAAGAAGTGTTCACCTCTTTCAATCTTTACATACTGGCTTTCGTAGGGAAAGTTCTTCACCAGTAAGCACATACAGAGATTCTTGATGAACCAATTGGCAGGATTTGTGGGTGGGCAGAGCTGGTGTTGGGGTATGTGAGTGGGCAGGCCAGCTGGTAGGGGCAATGGGCAGATTCACTACTATGGGCCATGGGACAGCTGTTGAAATCCATGAACTGATTGTTGAGAGCTCCTGCCTGTTTTCTTATTTTCTTTGTTCTTAGCTACTCCCAGGTGTCTGGTCATGTTGATTCTCTCAATGTTCTTGGGAAGGCATAACAGAAGTGGTCCGCTTGGGTAGCATCCTGAAAGGGTCTGGAAGTTGCACATATACTTTTTTTTTTCTCATTGGAGAACTTGCAGGGTGAAGGGATCTTTCTTTACAATATGGTGTGCTGGATCTCTCTTTGTGCCACAGTGCGAGGGGTGATGTAGGTAAATTGATACAGTTTTTTGACAATTCTTAACACATTGTTTCTTGCTTCTGTGCTCCACCAGGGTGCTGTAAACTCCCCCATGGTTTCCAGAGCTCTCATGAAGGTATTTTGCTTAAAATATTTAGTATTTTCCAAATATGCTTGTTTCTATTCTTCTTTTACTTTCAAGCTTTGTATATTCTTTTTTCCCCCCACCAGCCAGTACGGGGATCCAAACCTTTGACCTTGGTGTTACCAACTCCATGCTCTAACCAAGTGAGCTAACTGGACATACCAAGCTTTCAGTGTGTCTCTTAAATACATATATTTGTTATTTATTTTTTAATCAATATTTTCAGCATTGCATCTTAACTAATGAGTAGGGTTTACTGGGGTGCTGTAAACTCTCCTTTAGATTCCAGAGCTCTTATGAAGGAGTTTTTGTTTCTGCATAGTTGATAAATTAGTATTTATGCTGGGGGATGAGTATTTATGCTCCTATTTAACCATCTTTCTGACATCACTTCCTTCATCTCTGTTTTGAAGCCTCTGTTATCTGATGTTAATGCAGGAATATTTTGCTTAAAATATTTAGTATTTTCCAAATATGCCTGTTTCTATTCATTTATTTCTCGCTTTGTATATTCTTATGCTTTCAATGTATCTCTTAAATACGTATATCTGTGTTTTATTTTTTAATCAATATGTTGTGCATTGTATTTTAACTGATGTGTTTAGGTTCATTTACATTTATTGTATTTTATCTACTTCCCCCAGTAGACCGCAAGCTTCATATTCATGTTTGTAACCAGTTTGAGACCCCTAATGGACATTCAGTCATTATAAATAGGATGAATTGATAAAAGACTGAATGAATATCAAATCAATTGAATTTTACCTGTCAAAGTGTGGGTCAAGTTCTGGCTCTGCTGAATTATATATAAAGGATGCAATCTCTTTCAAGCCATGGAAGACCATTGACCAATCCTCTCATCAGTTACTTTTCACTTTCTATACATTGATGTGTGCTAAATAACACAAGACACCATAGGTCATTACTGAGTATGTCTGGATAAGGATGCAAATGTGATCCTGTGGCAAGTTGAAAAATTTGATCCTTTGAAATTCTAGTATTAGTATTAGTCTGATCTTATTTGTTTCCAAGGATGGTGAGATCTCAGGAACACTATATAACACATATATGTCTTTTTATCACCACAGATATATACAATCATTCTGAGCTTGAGTTATGTTCTAGTTCCTGCTATATAACCCATAGAATAATGCCTTGCATACGGTGAAAGATATTCCCAGTTTCCTCTTCAATGCCCTTTTTCCAAATTACCCTCATGTCAATTTCATAAAGGGTTTCCCTAGGAGTCTTCCCAGAGCCCTATGCATGTCCTTGTTCCTCAGACTGTAGATGAAAGGGTTCATCATGGGGGTCACTACAGCATACATCACTGTAGCTACTGAGTCCTTCATGGAGTAGGAATGGAGGGGCTTCAGATATACCATGCAAAGTGTCCCATAGAAGAGGGACACCACAGCCAAATGGGAAGCACAAGTGGAGAAGGCTTTGTACTTTTTAGAGGCTGAGGGTATTTGGAGGATGGCTCTGACAATGCAGACATACGATATGATCATGAACCCAAAAGGAGTGAGGAATATGAAGCAGCCTGTGCCAATCAGCACAGTGTGATTGACCTGGGTGTTGGAACATGCAAGCCTCAACAGGACGTACATCTCACAGAATATGTAGTGGATTTTTCGTGACCTACAGAAGGTCACACTGGTCATGAGGAGGGTGTGTGTGAGTCCATAGAGGACAGAAAGCACCCAACACAAGGTGAGGAGCAAGATGCAGAGCTTAGGACTCATGACTGTTGTGTAATGGAGGGGGCGGCAGATAGCCACATAGCGGTCATACGCCATCACTGCCAGGATGAGGTTGTCCAGGGCCACCAAGGAGACCAGGAAGTAGAGCTGTGTCAGACACCCTGCATAGGAGATGGCTTTGTCCTGGGACTGAAGATTCACCAGCATCTTGGGGATTGTGTTGGTAACAAAGACGAGGTCAGTGAAGGAGAGGCTGGCCAGAAAGAAATACATAGGAGTGTGCAAATGGGAGTCAAAGCCAATGGCCAGGATGATGAGCATATTTCCCACCACTGTGACCAAGTACATGGATAGGAACATCCAAAAAAGGATCCGCTGCTGCTGAGGACTTTCCGTGAGCCCTAGAAGTAGAAATTCTGAGTCATCACTGTGGTTGCCTCCATCCATTTCCACAATTTTCTGCAATATTAGCACCAACAAATGTTTGCGAAGTGCCCTCGTTTGAATAGGATATGAAGATAAGCAAAACAAACAGTTTTTTTTAGTATAAAAATATCTTAGACTAAATTTAAAAATAAAAAAATAAGCAACAAAGTAATACAAGGCATAAAAACAGAATATGGAAAATCTTGATGCAACTTAATCATTCTAGCAATTACTAGTCTGGTATTCTCAACGGTACAGGAATAATATCTAAGTCTTTTAAAAAAATTCTATCATCCTATGATACTCTTAAAGTGTTTAATGATTAGTATTTAAGTATCTTTAATACAAGTATATACATTATGAGAAAGGGATATAGTTCAAATAAAATAATGGGGGAAATAAAATAATTCAAATGCGGAGGAAAAATTACCATTTTTTGGTTTGATAATCTATCTTGGAAAAGTTGACAATCAAGTCATAGACTATTAGAAATAAAAAGGGATTTCAGAATACTCGAAGTCTGAGCTCTGCTCCTTAATAGCTATAAAACCTCAGGCAGGTTACTTGAGCTCTTTAGGTCTCAGTTTCTTCATGTGAATAATGGGTCATGGAGGGGGGAAGTAAATAATAAAGTGCTTTTCATGAGGAGCTGGCATGCAGTGAGTACACAGCAAATATTGCCTATTATTATTATTACATATAAATAATGATCAGGAAGAATAAGGTTAAAAACAAGGTGAAAATGTAATGCAAACAATCTCATCCACACTATCAACAAACAAGTCCATGCATTAAAATGTTAACAAGAATCAGTCAAGACCTTGCAATTCCCCAGGGAAGCATAAAGTAAAAATTTAAAAATGGACAGACATACCAAGATTTCAGATATAAAGATGAAGTGTTGCAAAGGTATATATTTTCCTAAATTAATCTAAAATGTAAACTATGTGATGTTAAAATTATGACAGGGTTTTTAAGAAACAAAATTAATCTAAATTTTACCTAAAATAAACATGAAAATAAGTTAGGGAAATGTTGAAAAAGAGCAACAAAGCAACACTTGCTCTGTCAAATATCAATTACTCTAAAACAGTGTGGTATTGAGGCTGGAATAAACAAATCAGTAGAACTGGATAAAAAATACACAGTAAGATACAAAAACATGTAGGAGTTAGTAAACTATTATGGTAACACTATATATTGTAAGGTAAAGTTTACATTAATCAAAAAACAGCATTGGGACATTTGTGTAATTATTTTTGGTGAATAGTTAGATCAATATTTTATGCACTGTAGCTTAATTTACTTCAGTGAATTAAACTTTATTCACAATTGTAATTGATGTATCATTGTCTTTTATATAGGTTATTTGTGGTGTTTCTGAAAAATTTATCCAGTGCTTGTTTCAATCAGTTTTCATAGCACATTTGAAAGCAGAGTTGAAGCTATGTAGGTGAACGATGCACTGTGAGCTGCTTCATTTCAGTGAATTAAACTTTATTTCGAGTTGAAAACAATGTATCATTGTCTTTTACGGAAGTTTTATAGTGATGCTTCAGAATCATTCATTCAGTGCTGGTTTTAAATGAGTTTTCACATACATGATCAAAATCAGAATTTTAGCAATGTAGATGAACAATGCACTGTAATCTGATTCATTTCACTGAATTTAAATTTGTTCTCAATTAGGATTGATGTAACATTGTCTTTTAAACAGGTTTTATACTGATGTTTCTGAACCATGCATGTAATGCTGGTTTTCAGTGTATTTTCATATACACCATTAAAAGCAGATTTTCACCAAAATAAAAATTTTGTAACTCATGAAACACATTTCAAACATGCTAAACATTAAAATAATATACTGTGCATTTTTTCTTTGAAAACCTAATGTGTATGGAATAAAAAATTTAAAAATACAAAAAAAAAAAAAAAAAGAAAAAGGAGGAAGTATATATAAATTAGGTTGATTTCTATTATCTGGAGATAGATTAAAACTTCACAATTTGATGTGTTTTTATTTGAGATGTGAAAAAACCAGTCCTAGGAAGTCCTGGTCAGAGAAAATTACAGAAAGAGACCTACATGTGCCATAGCCCTGATGTGGAAAAGCTGTTGTTGTTTTTAAGAAACTAAATATGATCAAGTAACTAAAAATAGTTGAAGTGAAGCAGAAGTCGTTAGATATGGGACTGTGCAGGTAATAGGGGACTAGGTCTTGCAGAGCCTTGTTAAGGTTTAATATTGCATTCTAAGTTCAGTGAAGAGCCTTAAAAGCTCTTTTTACAATTTTCACCAGTTTCACCAAAGAATTTAGCAGAAGATGGTGCATATCTTTAGTATTTATCCTTCTATTTGTACTTTTCAATAGTATTTTATTTTTAATTTATTTTATCTAAATCGATTATACATATTTTGGGGGTTGAACAGTGTTGATCAAATCAATATTACTAGCACATATATTGTTGCAAATTGTAATTATTCTTTATGCCCCTTGTCCAATCTCTCCCCTTCCCCCATTCCCTCCCCCTTCCTCCCTCAAATTACCCTAGATTTCTTCTCTCCTTTTGAAACAATAATGTTTACTCTGTTAATTGTTGCCTAGATGATCTGTCCAGTGCTGAGAGATGTGATCCGGTCCCCCATAGAGCAGATGTTTCTTCTGTCACTCTGAAATGGGCTTTGTGAAAAGAGACATCCTCTTCTTTTTCTCTGCTGGTGACTCTTCCTGTGTGAATGCACTCCAGCGGTTAGTGGACCACGTGTGTGGTGGTTGTGGTGTCTAGTCACTTTCGTGGCAGCCATGGTTACTGTGGTGGCTGTGGTGGGCCACCCACATGGAGGTGCTGTTTTTGGTATGTTCCTTGGCACTGGCGGTATGCCTGGTTGTGGGGTGTGTCTGGTCCCCTTCTCCATGCCTCTGGTCCCTGGGCAGGCCCCAAGGCACTGATGCGGTGTGTCTGATTGTAGGAGAGAGGTCCAGTCTCCTTCTGCATGCCTCGGGTACCCGGGTGGGCCCCAAGACACTGGTGTGGTGTGCCTGGCTGTGGGAAAGAGGTCTGGTCCTCTTCTCCATGCCTTGGGTCCCTGGGCAGGCCCTGAGGTGCAGGTGTGGTGTGCCTGGTTGTGGGAGGAGGGTCCGGTCCCCGGCTCCCTGCCTCAGGTCACTGGGCAGGCCCTGAGGCACTGGCTTGGTGTGCCTGGTTGTTGGAGAGAGGTCTGATCCCCTTCTCCATATCCCAGGTCCCCGGGTGGGCCCTGAGGCACTGGTGCAGTGTGCCTCGTTGTGGGAGAGAGGTCCAGTCCCCTTCTGCGTGCCTCCAGTCCTCGGGCTGGCCTTGAGGCGCTGGCACGGTTTGCCTGGAAGTGGGAGTGGGGTCCGGTCCCCAGAGCTAAGCCTCCGGTTCCCAGGCAGGTCCCAAGGTGCTGGTGGTGTGCCTGGGGCGTAATTAATTTTTTGTTCTTTGCTTCTAACATGGGGGGAACTTCCCGTATGAATCTGTACTTGAGCTGTGTGGTTGTTAAATTGCTGCTTTGCTGCTGTTTCCCTAGGGAAGGCTTTTTGTGCAGCTCAGGGTTTAATGGTTGACCTTATAGGTACTTCCAGCTCTCCAGAGACCCGGTGGATCTGTGTTCTGTAGAAACTCTGATCTGGGCCTGAGTTTTATCATCAAACTACACCCCATGCAATTCTGCATTCCTGACCAGTCTCCTCTGAGTGGTCCTGTGCTGATTGGGGGGCAGATCATCTGTCTTTACTGTGTACCAGTGTTCTCCTGGTGCTCCCATCTTGCCCACTGCCTGTGCTCCAAACACTTCCCATGGATGGGCCCTGCGATGGTCCCTTGCAATGACTCACCAGTCTCTGAATGGCTCCCCTTTTCCAGCTGTTCTGGCTCCTCCCTCCTTTGTGGGTCCACGGGAGCCCTATTAGTGGTCTTGCTGTCCTCGGGTTCACCAAGGCCCTCTTCTTGCCTGCCGCCTCCAAGCAACTCCATCTGAAGGGCACAGCTGCGGCTTCTGCCAGCTCCTGCTCCATGTGCTCAGCAGCTTGAGCCTTAAAGCAGCTGTGGCCCAAAACGCTCAGAGCAGCTTTTTCTTTCTCTCATTGTGGTTTCTCCCACCTTCATGAACTCCGTAGGTCTCTCCTCCTGTCCCCCTGAGTCCTAGTGGCTCCGGCTTGGCTAATGTTACATTTTTATAGTTGTAAATTGGTTGATTTGTGGGAGAGAATGGCGCTGTGGACCATCTATTCTGCTATCTTGACTGGAACTTCAATAGTATTTTAATAAGTAGCTACTGCTGTTTCATTTTTAATCAAATGCTTTTTCATAGCCTATGACTATTAATAGCTTGCCTAATGTTGAATCACTCTAGCATTCCCAGTATAAACTATTGAAATTGATTTGCTATTGTTTTACTTAGGTTTTTGTAGTTACATTTGTAAATGAGGTTTAGCTACAGTTTCTTCTGCGTGTGTCATCCATATTACCTTTAGGTGTGATTTGGCTTGCATTATCTTTTACAGTAAACTTGAATTCACTCATTCTCGATTTCTAACATTTGCAATATGTTGAATTTTTTTCAATAGCTTAAGACATAAAGTTTAAAAGAAAATCCATGGAGTTTGTTTTAAAAAATAGCTTACTGCATTGCAATCTATTGATTATAAACAAAAAAACTTAGTGTAAATAATTCAAGCAATAAGGAGATTAAGAGTAGAAACCATCCCAAAATGATGAGTCCAGATGGTAAAGCAGTAATTATAACAGTGAGTATTGGGGTTTGTAAAATTAATGATGTTATATCTATAACAATAATAAGAGAAAAGTGAGGGGAAGAAATAGAAATCATGTTTCTGTATATTGTTGGAATTAAGCTAGTAGAAGTATGATGTTGATTCTGATAAGTTAAGATATATATGGTAAACTCTAGAGCAGCCACCTAAAAATCCCTTCAAAAATATAGTGAAAACAAATCACTAAATATGTAAAAAGGCTACATGAGAAAATATTTACTTA